GTTGGGATTATGGTTGAGAAGAATCCTATTTTTTAATTACTACCTTCGTCCCTGAGTATTTGTCCAATTTTGACTTTTTCTTATGAACTATTTTCAACATTTGACTTATAATTAAATAAAATATATACTCCGTATTATATATTAAGTAGATAAAAATAATATTTTTAAAATGAATGATATAATAAATCAAATAACACTAATTTTGTATCAATATCTAATATCATTTTTATTTAATTTGAGGTCAAAATTTACCAATTTTGACCAAAAAAAGTCAAAAGCCGACAAAAATTCTGGGACAGAGGGAGTATATAATTATAAGGTCGGTAATTTAAGTTTTTTAAATTAATGTGAGGAAAAAAAAACATTGGATCACTAATACTTTTTGTATTAATATATTTTTGAATTTATACAGGGATGAAAATTATAGATTTGTAGAAATACATCAAATAGTATGTCAAATAAAAATCAATATTCACATTGGTAGGATCGAAATATATTTCGTCCGAACCCGTGCGTGGTACGGGTAGAAATACTAGTCTTTATATATAAAATTTGAGAGTTGGGCATCTAGAATTGTGACATGTGGCATGCTTATTCGACAAATTTTTGACATGTCAGCACGCCATGTCACCAAGTAATATTTAAAGAATTAGACAACAAAGAATATTATTGTGTGGAAATTAAATTTCGTCTTTGTCACACACAAATTCCTCAACATAGTCGTATTTAAAAACTTTTTTTATCTTAAATCATTATTGAAGAATATTTAAATTAAATAATATATTTAGAAATTGAAAAAAGAACTCATATTCAAACAATAATCAAAACAACTAAATTTATTCTAAGAAAGGATAGAGTGGTAGAACTAAGAGAAATTTCATGTGAATTTTTTTTTTCTTTGAATCAATATTAATTGGAGAGATTTTCCAATTTTGAAAAAAGACAAACAAATATATAAAAGGAAAGGGGTCTTTATGGACATGTTTATTTAATAGAGCATTAATTTTACTATGTATATATAAAAAATTATAAGTCAAATAACAAGCATGTTCCAATTAAAAATTATTATTTTTCATTACGAACTTTGTAAATTTATGATCAAGGGCACCATTTTGTTATAATTTTTAAAAATGTGGTATGTTTTTGTTACAAATGGTAGATGAGATAACTTTTTGTTACAATGTCTAAAGTTGAGTATCTCATGTGAAAAAATATGTTTTTTTAAGAGCTTGTTTGGAAACATCCTTCCTGTTTGAAAAAAAAACATGGCTTTAAAATGAGTAATTTTGGTATTATTTTTTAATTATGACTCATCTATACTACACATCTCATCCTACTCATTTATAAAGTAAGGGCAAAATTAGAAATAACACCAAAATTATTCATTTTAAGGGTGTGCCTTTTTTCAAACAAGAAGGGTTTTATGGGACGGGGGGAATATAATCGTTTTAAAAAAACTAATGATATTTCCAAACAGGATTTAAGTCTTCCACACCAATAAAATAAAGACTAATTTTATAATTGGTCCTTTATAACAGGAGAATTACCATATTTAGTCCTCAAAATTATATATTACCTCATTAGTCTTTCTTTCTTTTAGGAATGCCTTTCCACAAATGGTTCTTTTTTAATCTTTTGCCATGTTAGTGTTAATTTCAATTCTAAAACTGTAATTTGACATCAACCTTATGTCCAGTGACGTATTCTTATATTGCTTTGACGAATAACACAAAAACAATGACTATGATTGTGAACTAGGATACCGACAAAAGATTGCATCTGTAGACTATATATGGTTGTATTAGAAAGCGACTCTGATTCATAAAAGACGCATTAGGAGCATCCTTCGGATTGTGTATGACAAGAAAAATATATTATCATTGTGAAATTACACTTTTAACCCTCAAATTAACACCAACATGATAGAAGATAAAAAAGACTATTTGTGAAAAGATACCATAAAAGAAAGACCACCGGAATAATATTTGATAATAAAGAATTAAATATGGAAACTCTCATGTGATAAAAGACAAATTATAGAATTTATTTTGAAATAAATTTACAATAAATATTTTTTGAATTATTAACCAAAATAGTTCAAGTGACCCGCTCCTAGTGGCGTGCTCAGACCATCAAGTCTAGTCCAACAAATTATACTCCGTATATGAATGGACCAGCACAAATAATTGAGCCTTCTCTAATCTCAAACACAAAACTAAAACAATTTAAAGAGTTGTTGACTTGACTTCAACCAACGCAGAGCGACAATCGAACAAACATTCACGGAAGGATCTAAAGCCGAGAAAGAAAGTGTAGAAGGGTCTTACAATAGAATTGTAGAGCAGATGATAAAATTGTAGGTTTTTGGGACAAGGCTAAGAATTAGTGAAATAATAATGTAGCTGGAAAGCACAAATTCTTAAATGAATTGAACACATGTACAATAATAAAAGTGAGCATAACGTTACATAAAATAATAAATAAATACACAAAACTAAAAGATCTGATAAATATTGTTGACTCTTGACCGACTTCAAAGAACAAGAACCGAAGATGAAACTCCTCATCTCTTATTTTGTTGCAGTTCGTGTGTTTTACATCACTGAGCACCCAGCATCTTCATTATAATAATGGGGAACTGGGTATGGAGGGTAGAGTGTGGTGTTAGAAGGCGGTGGGTAATAGGTGAGAGGGTTACTGATTGTCACGGTTTGGGTCTTTGGTGGCTCTTCCTTTGCGGCGTCGGCGGGTTTATTGGCCTTTGGGGCCTCATCCTTTTTCTCCACCACGGGCGCCACCGTGAGAAGATCGGCGTGGCCCAATTTCTTACGCAGCGTGGTGGCCAGCACCACCGCGTCGAACTCCCCCACCACCTCTATCTGCCCCTTCTCTACCTGTATTGACGCCGCAACAACTCCTACAGGGAACAAATAAAAAAATTTGAATTTCAATTCTGCTTTTGGGATGTGATAAAAAAAAATAAAAATTGTTTCTAGCTCTCTACGTACCTGGCTGGCAAACAGCAATCTTAAAAGCCTTGGTGCGAGCCTTCTCATCCTTCAATATCACGCTAATCACTGCCTTTTGCTGCAAATTAAATAACAACCAAAGGAATTGATGAATTATTAAAGTTCATGTAAATCACTACAAGTACCTTAATTAGCAAGCTAATCGTGGGAATATAGAATTTAAAGAACAGAACATATTATCAAGATGATGGCATGGAGATCATAATACCTTGCCCATTTTATTGTTTTTTTTCTGGGTATATATCTTTAGAAAGAGTTGGAGATGGAGGTGGAACAAAGTATATAATTAATATACTCTGATTAATTAATGAGAGAATAAAACTCGTCCAGTAGTGTTTGTGAGTCATTACACTAAACTGGTTGAGCTAAATATATATATGCTCGTTCAGGAGGGGTTTGATTTAGTCTCCCGGCCCGCGTGTACACTGTATATGACTTTTCTTTTTCTCTTGAGATCTCTCGGAATAATGATTTTTAGTCCCAACTTTATTCATGTGGTCCCTTCCTCTCAAAGAATGATTTTTACTTCGAAACTTCCTACGTTGGAATTTTTAACAAGCACAGTTTTATTAGGGTACGTTTAGTACACAAAATTCATGAAATTTGATTTGAATTGAGAGCTGAAAATATATGATACCAAACAGTAAAATTAGAAGTGAAATTTGCACTAAATAGGACTAAAACATAAGTCATTTTCCAATGTAGGACTTACATTTTTTTATTCCTTAAATAGGACTTAATAATGACTAGTGAGAATTTGCCCAACGATATTTTTAGTACACTTTTTTATTCCCTAAGTAGTTAGAATTTATTATTATGAAGATATGCAAATAGTGTACGATTCCATTGAAATTGCCCAACGATGTCTTTAGCGATACCACTGCGTTTTTGAAGCATATCCGATTCTCCGGTGTCCCGTTGATAAAATTGATGGTTATTGTCCTACTAACATACTCCTAAACCCCTAAAATTGATGGTGTAAATTATTGACCGGTATATCGTTTTTAGCCGGGCAAAAACGATAAATTAGTCTAAAAAATACACCAAAATATAAACACTGAAATTTTTACGTGGAAACCCAATTGGGAGAAAACCACAGACCTTTTTTCGCGGTACCTTGCCAACGAGCGATTTTTATTAATACCGGGGGTGTGTACACGGTACATGATTAAGAATAAGAAGCCATTAACATAACATTTAAGCTCTTAAAGAAGGAAAAAATATACTAGAAAATAATCTAGAGAGTGAGAATTGGGCAGAGAGTGGGAATGAATTGGCCCCCACAATTTTGAGGCAAACCTTCTCTTTTATAAGAGGGAGGGGGAGCATCTACCTGAGGAATATTCTCTTATCCCTTCATTTACTAAATTGGTCTGGTTTGACTGTTCTTCGTAAATAATTGGGAAGTGTGGATCGAGCCAAGTATTATTTTCCATCAAGAAGTCCTCAAATTTTTTAAATTATGAGAATCATTAACATAAGAAAGTAAACAAGTCCTACGAGTGCTACCTTCAGTCTTCGTAATTTGGATTCTTGACCGGTTGATATTATTGCTAGTCCTCTAAGTCTTCATTAACTCTCTAATTTCTTGAATTGGATGTTTTTCTTGCAAAAAATAATACGTACAACGGAGTGTGGCAATAAATAAATATTTGTATTAAATTTATATCATTTTGAATTAAAAATGATGAATAATGTAAAAAAGGAAGAAAGGTGCGAGAAGGCAATAAAATTGTAGGTTTTTTGGAGCGGTACTGAAAATTAGTGAAATAATGATGTGTTAGGCAACGGAGTGTGGCGAGATTCCGCCAGGTAAATGTTTTTAGAATCACCAAAGCACAACTCTTAAATGAATGGAACAAATGTACAATAGTGCGATAACAATAAATTAATTAATAAATACTCTCTACGTCTACAAATAAATTTTTATTTCAATATTCACAAGGTCAAACTTTATTCACTTTATTGCCCTACTTTCGTCACCCATTTGATAAAATAATATAGTCATGTCACCTCTAGTTTTGTAGATCTTTTAATATAGTTTTTTAATATGTAATTTTTATTTTTAAATTTTACACCATTTTTCAAATAAAATGATTTGAAAATAACTTTAATCAAACATCGTAACGTCCGACGAAAATTTTATTTGTATAGGAAGGGAGTATATACACAAGTACCTACGGAGTACATAAAATTGAGCCTTTCTCTAACTAATCTCAAACAAAAAAAATTAAAATACAGTAGTAATTAAAAAAAGAAAAACTAATAGATCTGATAAATGTCGTTGACTCTTGACTTCAAAGAACAACTTCAAACTCCTCATCTCTTATGAGGATTAGTAGATGAATTTTCTTACATCACAATTGAATTGGGATGATTTTACATCACTGTGCATCCAGCGTCTTCATTATAGTAATGGGGAACTGGGTATGGAGGGTAGAGTGTGGTGTTAGAAGGCGGTGGGTAATAGGTGAGAGGGTTACTGATTGTCACGGTTTGGGTCTTTGGTGGCTCTTCCTTTGTGGCGGCGGCGGGTTTATTGGCCTTTGGGGCCTCATCCTTTTTCTCCACCACGGGCGCCACCGTGAGAAGATCGGCGTGGCCCAATTTCTTACGCAGCGTGGTGGCCAGCACCACCGCGTCGAACTCCCCCACCACCTCTATCTGCCCCTTCTCTACCTGTATTGACGCCGCAACAACTCCTACAGGGAACAAATAAAAAAAATTGAATTTCAATTCTGCTTTTGGGATGTGATAAAAAAAAATAAAAATTGTTTCTAGCTATCTGCGTACCTGGCTGGCAAACAGCAATCTTAAAAGCCTTGGTGCGAGCCTTCTCATCCTTCAATATCACGCTAATCACTGCCTTTTGCTGCAAATTAAATAATAACCAAAGGAATTGATGAATTATTAAAGTTCATACCTTGCCCATTTTAAAGAACAGAACATATTATCAAGATGATGGAGATCACATCATACCTTGCCCATTTTATGGTTTTCTATTTTCTTCTGGGTATATATCTTTAGACAGAGTTGGAGATGGAGGTGGAACCAGGAGATGTACAGAGTATATAGTTAATATACTCTGGTCAGTAGTGTTTGGGACTCTGAAATTGTATATCTTGATGTTTGTGAGTCATGACATACACTAAACTGGTTGAGGTATACATATATATATACAGTCCATATGTGGGGGGGAGCTTGCTAGGCAAGTACTCAGGAGCTAGGGACATGACTACTGTATATGAGTAGTCTTGCAGCCGCCGGTTGATCCAATTGTGGTACTAGCACTGTGCCACTATGGCACCGACCCACCGTAGTTTGATTTAGTCTCAAAAAAATCCCCTTTTTTTTAATAGTTTGATTTGGTCTCCCGCGTATAGACTTTTCTTTCTCATGTAGGTGTGCTAATTACGGATTGGTGGACTGCGGTCTCCGGGACTAATGATTTTTGGTTCCAGCTTTTAATCATGTATCCCTTCCTCTCAAACAATGATTTTTCCTTCGAAGCTTCCTAGTTGAAATTTTTAACAAGCACTGAGTCTTATTAGGATCGGTTTGATACACGGAATTGATAGAATTTGATTTGAATTGGTGTTGACAGTTTATTGAATTAATTTAGATAGAATTGAATTTTCCAATTCTAATCTATTTTTGGCACTATCAAATTCTAAATCCGCATATTTTTATGCTACTAAATAGTAAAATTGGAATTGTAATCTCCAATTTTAATCCATACTTTGAATTTTGGGTACCAAACGGAGCCTATGAAATATTAATTAAGAGTGTAGTTAGAATTTATTATTATCAAGATATGCAAATAGAGTACGATTCTATTGAAATTGCCCAATGATATCACTAGCAGTACCACCTTATTTTTGAAGCATCTCCGATTCTCCAGTGTTCCATTTATAAAATTGATAGTTCCGATCTCACTAACTCATCCCTTAAACCCACACCCGAGTTCCACCCCTGCCCCTACCCCAACACTCATAAGCCCCTACAAGTGTGTGGCTACTATGCATTGTACGAGAGGACCATCAATTTTACGAACGAAACACCAGAGACGCTCCAAAAACATAGTAGCACTGCTAGTGGTACCTTTCAACGGAACCCCATTCATGAAAATATTGTGAGTATATTTTCTCCGTCACTAAAATAGTCACTTTGCATGTACTATTCCAAAGTCAAGGTAATTAAAATTTATTTATTTATTTTGATAGATTATTTGATAAAAATGATATATTTTTGGCAATTTTTTTATTTCTAAATTATTCTTAAATAAAATTAATTTTTAGATATTTATACTTTACTTTATTTTGGGGTGATTTTCCTCCATGTATAAACACATTGCAGGTGGTTTCTTTATACGTAATTTAAATATACAATTTTCTAAATAAAACAAATTGGCTTACTCTGTTTAGCATTTATGATTCTCCTGAACGGAGTAGCCAACTATGTTCCATATATTTATTTAAAGAAATGGAGTAGCCAACTCTGTTCCAGATATTTAATTAACAAAACGGAGTAACCAACTCCGTTCATGTATTATTTTTTTAAATCAATTTTTTTCTTTATTTCTCATAATTGAAGAAAGAAAAAATATATTATAAAAAGCAGCAAATTAATTACATATAGTGAAACAAACAATCTACTAATAATAAAATTCATAAATAAAATAATTATTTGTTGACTTTAAATAATGCATCATTCACTGAAATGAAAATAAGAAGTAAATCACAACAAATTTATTGATAGAGTACATGTAATTTATTCATAAAAATAAGGTTACAAAACACATGCCATAACTAATTTATTTTTTGAAATTCATAAAATATAAACTTAGACATAATTGAAATCCATAATATAGCTATTGTTCATTGCAACGTCACCGTGGCCGGTAGTCCATGTTATTCGGATAGCGAGTTCTTGTAGGTTGACCGATTTGTGTCCTCGCTCGTGCAGTTGGTCTCACTATCTTGTAACCTAGAGTAGGGCATCCGGCCTCATCGGGAAGCGACATTAGGATGCCAGAATAAGCATTGATGTAGGATTGGATTGAAAAAACATTAGAAATCAAATGATTCACGGTGACACTATACTGATGACATACTGCGTGGACATGAATGCACGGAATGTGATATGTTACCCATTATCCACATGTACATGTTCGTGCATGCACTTAAGTTCACCGGAAATGTCTTGCGATGACCATTGTTGGAGGACCCATCCACAACCATAGAGTATATCCCTTGTTGTGCATGGTGCTGCACAACACGACAATAAAGCCTATTTTCTTCATTTTTTGATATTTTTCCACACATTCATAGGAAAATTATACCTTGATTGTTACCACAAATATCCATTTGTTCACCTATCAGCAAAAACCTTGACTCATTTATCATAGGTGAACCTCACAATGGCATAGACGGGCAAACAACGACATCCCTTAAGGACATTATTGAAGCTTCCTGGCAAATTTGTGGTCATTATACCATAGTGTGAGCCACCTTCATCATGAGACAATGCCCACATGTGTTTTGGAATAGCCATAAGCCTGTTGTAAGCTTCTTGATTATTTGACGCTATCTAGAGAAGTGTCTGCTCAAACTCACTTCTGCTAGGGGTCTCACCAGCTTTGTACACCAAATTCTTTAGTTTTTTACTTCGAAACTTGCTATGGAAATTGCTTTGTAGATGGCGGTGACAAAATATTTGAGTGACTTGACCTCCTTGCAATTCTGGAACATTTGTGAATGCATGGTCAATACCACCGTGTCTATCAAATATTATGCATATATGGTGGTGTGGAGGCACGACATGTCGCATGATATTTGTCATGAACCACTTCCAGCTTGCACCATCCTCAACATCAACAATGGAAAAAGCCAAGGGAAAAATTTCACCATTTCCTGTCATTGCCACGATAATTAATAAAGTTCTCTTATACTTACCATATAAGTGAGTTCCATCCAATGAAACAACTGGATGACAATACTGAAAGCCATCAATGGATGCCTTGAAGGTCCATAAAAGATACCTTAACTCAAATGTAGTCGGTGAATTCATAGGTTGTGTTTGCAAATTCACAATTGTCCCAAAGTTTGATCCCATAATTGCATCGAGCAAAGGAGCCAACTTGTTGTACGAGCCCTCCCAACTACCGTACAATCACTGAATGACCAATGACCTTGCACGCCACGCCTTTTTATAGGAGACAGAGACTTGGAACAACTCATAAACATCTCTCATTATGTGTTTTAGTTTATAATCAACATCTTCTTCAATTTTTAGACCAATCAGGGCACTTATAAGCTCTTTGGTTACCAATTTGTTGTCTTAAGCTCGCGTGTAATTTGGTCTACACTGGTGATACCCCTGATATTGCTTTATGGTCCATATAGTACTCCCAACATTCTTTGCTTCTTGTATGAACCAAGTGCATTCGGGGGCATATACACAAGTTTCTCTCCAATAACGGCTCCATTTTGCTTCTGTGGGAAAGTGTCTATGCTCCACAATGTTCCGTAATGACACAACTTGTTGTAGACTTTGGAAAAAAGGATACTTGTTTACAACCTCAATAATTGGGACGTGGAATGTCGGTTGCAACGATCTATATGTTTCACGTCTATGCATGTCCTGTATGTGTGGCATTTGATGAACATCATTGCAATAACCTCCTTCCGAAGATATGTCTTCTGCATCTTCCGTACCATCTTCATCTTCCGTTGAGAGTGCAGCATATGTAGGATCATCTGGACATGCGCTTCGCAGGATGCTCTATGTCGAATCGAGGAAGATGTGAACTGGACGGCTCACCCATGCAAGAAAGTGTGTGAGTGTCACTCTCAATATGTTCTTCATCACTCACATCATCTGTAACGCCCCAAAACATACCCTAGAATTATTAATGAATAAGTATTCAATTAATCAAATTGTTTTGATTAAAATAATTTTTTGTTGGGCTTTGGGCCAAAATAAAATGTGTTTTAATATCAAATATCACAATTAGGATAAATCTCATAGAGATAAATCCAATTAGTTGACTATTTGTATGGTCTTGATTGGGAACCTGAGTGCAGACCCAAAATCAGGAATAAATGAATAATGTGTTTATGATGTAAACTTTAAAATGATTTATTGAAATAAATCATGAGAAAAAATAATATGAATTTAGTATGAGCACCTTTTTAAGTAGAGGTCAAACAAATCAATTTTGACTCTATCAAGGTCAAACACTAAAAATATGATGTCGGAAAAAGTATAATGAATAAATATAAAAATTATATCGTTGGATAGAGTTTAGTCGCACGATCGCAATGGTGCAAACGGATTTCAATTCGGAGAAAAATTGGACCAAAAAGTGTATCCCGACTGGGACCAAAATTAGTCCCAATTAGGGAGTAACGTGCTGAATCTCTTTATCGCTGAATGAATCGTGAAATGGGAATCCTACGCAGCAGCAACTCAGCTTCCCATGTCTTCTTCCTCTTCCTCTTGCTATATAAGAAACTCCATTCTTCTCATTTCTTCACCATTCATCTTCAAACTTCTTCCTAAGTGTTCCTAAGAGTGTAAGGAGTATAGTGGTGCTGTCAATTTGGTGTGAAGTCGCCGGAGCAAGCCACAAACCTCGCTGGAAGTTTCGTCGGAATATTGTCAAAACCTTCATTAAGCTTCGAGGTAAGCTCGTAGATATATCTAGTGACTAGAATGTTCATATAGATCGTTTTTACGTTCAATAAACGGTCGTTTGGTTGAGTTTTGTGTTTGACATGCTTGAAGAACCAAGAATCATAAACCATTAAATTGATGTTAAAACTATGAAATAATGATGCCAAAATGATCTATGAACCTTGGAGAACATTACTATATAGTTTAATTGAAGTTTGGAAACTAAAAATGGATTTTTCGAAATTGGAGTCGCGAGGTAGAAGACGATGAACAGTGGCTGAAAAGCCACTGTCTGGATCGATCATATGGCTTGGATCGATCCTCTGGGAGTGGTTTTTCACATCATGGATCGATCCAGAGGGCTGGATCGATCCCCCGAAGTTCTGATCCGAAATTGCTATTTTTGAGCTCTAAAATTCTATTTTTGATACCAATTGATGATGATTATTTTAAGGATGATTCTTT